TGGTCAAGACTATAAAGTCTGTAGTCAAGATTATAGAACAGTATATAATATTTACTATAGAAACCAACTACTTCAAAGAATTATTGTTCCATATATTATAATTACTAAGAAAGCTTATTTTGCAACTAAACGTCAATGCGTTCATACATTGTAACCATTAAATTTCCTCTTCAAATTTCCAAATTTGGTAAAGTCAAAAATAAACCAAGATTTTTGAAAATATAAAAATGAAAAAGTGTGTTAATCTATTATATCATCAATTAACAATTTTCACATTTTTCATTTAGTTTTACTCCATTATTAATTACATACATTCAAGTCCCCTAGCAACTTTTCCCACAAAAAAAAATAATATTTAGATTTGATAGTGACCGGTTTTTTCTAAAATATGTATTTTTTATCAATTGCAAAAAAATAATAACTTGTCCAACATGTGCATCTGAAGCGGTGAATACAAAAAGCACGAGTGCAAAAATGAATGAAAGTATAAATTGTTCATAAAATAAATGTGTTTGTGTTCATAAAATTATGACCACTGAGAATTATGTCAAATTTGTTAAGAGAGTGAAAACTAAAATAATATTTATTTAAACCGGCAATTTTCTTCAGCTTACAAGTTCCATGTAATTTTCACTTTATTATATTCAAATAAAAGATTTGCATTAACATATAAAACATGCTTACAGATCGTATTTACTCTTATGTATGGGTGAGTAGTGGGACCGATAAGTTTTCTCTCTGCATGACGCTTGATGTTTTATGCAAATTTGATCTTGGTGGTAGCATTTCCTGAACGAATTGCTCAGGTTTTTTGTATAAACAAATTGTATAAATATTTTAGGTGAAATTAATAAATTTAATCGCAAAAATATTTGCATGTTAAAAACCTGGACCAGTTCTTATAAAACATGAAACACTTTTGAAAATGGTGGGATTTAATTTAAAAATAAATAATTATAAAATCAGCATTTCTTGGTCTTTCACCTAAATTATAAACAGGTCTAAGTTTTACCATTTATGGTTTTTATAATTTAATATTTAAACTAGATTGAAATTTTTCTAATAATTCATCTATCATTATAAATACGTAGTATGTAGATATGTTCGTGGTTAAGTAATAATAATTTTAAAACAGGTCTACATATACATATTTTTTTTAACATTGTAATTTAAATTTCAAATATTTATTTAATTTGATTCGCAAGCTTGTATTTAGAGCGCAAATAATTGTAATATCAGTTATTAATAAATTATCGGAATACAAATCAATTAATGGGCGATAGCTGTTTGCAATAATAAATAGGTGTAAAATGTCAATAAATATATAAGAATTGCTTTTATTCTAAAGTAATAATTTCGGATAAATGTTCAAATACTATAGCCAAAGATCTTTACAAGAAACTCTTCTGTATAGAAGTGCATTTCAGAAAGACTTCTCTTTAGACAAATTTGATTTAATTTAATTTTACGATCCTTAAAGTATATACTATCATATATTTAGTAATAAAGGAGCCCAAATATCTGTGTGATCCAAATCTTGAATAACTCTACACTAGACTATGGACTAGAGTATAGATTAGAGTATAGGTTAGACTATAGACTAGACTATAGACTAGACTATAGACTAGACTATAGACTAGACTCTAGACTAGACTATAGACTAGACTATAGACTAGACTATAGACTAGACTATAGACTAGACTATAGACTAGACTATAGACTAGACTATAGACTAGACTATAGACTAGACTATAGGCTAGACTATAGACTAGACTATAGACTAGACTATAGACTAGACTATAGACTAGACTATAGACTAGACTATAGACTAGACTATAGACTAGACTAGACTAGACTATAGACTAGACTATAGACTAGACTATAGACTAGACTATAGACTAGACTATAGACTAGACTATAGACTAGACTATAGACTAGACTATAGACTAGACTATAGACTAGACTATAGACTAGACTATAGACTAGACTATAGACTAGACTATAGACTAGACTATAGACTAGACTATAGACTAGACTATAGACTAGACTATAGACTAGACTATAGACTAGACTATAGACTAGACTATAGACTAGACTATAGACTAGACTATAGACTAGACTATAGACTAGACTATAGACTAGACTATACACTAGACTATACACTAGACTATACACTAGACTATAGACTAGACTATAGACTAGACTATAGACTTGACTATAGACTAGACTATAGACTAGACTATAGACTAGACTATAGACTAGACTATAGACTAGACTATAGACTAGACTATAGACTAGACTATAGACTAGACTATAGACTAGACTATAGACCAGACTATAGACTAGCCTATAGACTAGACTATAGACTAGACTATAGGCTAGACTATAGACTAGACTATAGACTAGACTATAGACTAGACTATAGACCAGACTATAGACTAGACTATAGACTAGACTATAGACTAGACTATAGACTAGACTATTGACTAGACTATAGACTAGACTATTGACTAGACTATAGACTAGACTATAGACTAGACTATAGACTAGACTATAGACTAGACTATAGACTAGACTATAGACTATATATACACTTTACTAAACTATACTATAGTTTTGAGTTTCTTAACCTCGGTTAATAACACGTATAGATTATATGTACATTAGACCATAGACTAGACTATAGACTAGACTATAGACTAGACTATAGACTAGACTATAGACTAGACTATAGACTAGACTATAGACTAGACTATAGACTAGACTATAGACCAGACTATAGACTAGACTATAGACTAGACTATAGACTAGACTATAGACTAGACTATAGACTAGACTATAGACTAGACTATAGACTAGACTATACGCTAGACTATAGACTAGACTAGACTATAGACTAGACTAGACTATAGACTAGACTAGACTAGACTAGACTAGACTAGACTAGACTAGACTAGACTAGACTAGACTAGAGACTAGACTATAGACTAGACTATAGACTAGACTATAGACTAGACTATAGACTAGACTATAGACTAGACTATAGACTAGACTATAGACTAGACTATAGACTAGACTATAGACTAGACTATAGACTAGACTATAGACTAGACTATAGACTAGACTATAGACTAGACTATAGACTAGACTATAGACTAGACTATAGACTAGACTATAGACTAGACTATAGACTAGACTATAGACTAGACTATAGACTAGACTATAGACTATATATACACTTTACTAAACTATACTATAGTTTTGAGTTTCTTAACCTCGGTTAATAACACGTATAGATTATATGTACATTAGACCGACTCACAAAAATGGTGCATGAGTTATCCCCCACAAAAATTTGGATGTTATGTAATATGATATTTTATTGTGGTTCCCAAAATATTTCTAGTCTATCGGTTTTTTGAAGCCACGTCTAGTGGTGTGCAAGATGTGCAATATTGTACACACATTTTATTTTCTTTTATGAAAAGCCTAACAATTTTAAGCGGATGGTTATTTTTGATTAATACATCATTGTACTCGGCTTTAAAACCCCTTTCAAACAATACCCCATATTGGATGTATTCAAAACAAAACTAAAATTTAATAAAAAGTATTAAAAAATACCTTTTTTGAATTTGGTCCAGCTCACGAACGACCATCGCTAGACTTAAAATATTTTGGGAATTATCATAAAACAAAGCAAAGTAAATTTTGAGAGGGGTAACAAAAACACGTTTTTGATTTCCATACAGAGTGAGTCGGTCTAATGTACATTAGGGTGTCCGGTGGACCACTTTTTAGGAGGAATACCTCTAAAACGATGAGTTTCGATGTACTAAATACAAAAAAAAATAAAAAAACAATTTTTTTAAGAAGGTCCTCAGTTTTCTACCTGCTATTGTAAAACTTGATCTCAGTACAATATGTTCAAAATGTAATTTTTTATACCCATTTCGAAAAAATCAAAAATATTTTATTTTCAAAAATTATACTGAGGTCAGGATTTTCAATCGCTGGGAACAGAGAAACTGAGGACCTTTCCAAAAAGAAATATTTTTTTAATTTTCTTGTCTTCAGTACATTAATATGCATCGATTGAGTGGTATTCCTACAAGAAATTCTTAAAAAGGCTGTTCCTCGGGACACTCTAATGTATATATATAATTAAGTTCCGTTTAAGTCCTACGACTACTATATTACAAGATTCGTTTTCTAAAAATCGCATATAAATAAATCTACTACATATCTATGTACATAGGTACATATACATACATATACATATACATATGTATTAGTGCATCAGTTATTTATTGCAATTTCTTAATTTTTTATTTTTTCTGTGACATTTATTTTAATTTAAGTTGATAATAAGGAAAATATTACTTTCCAGTTTTCATGTTTCGACAGTTATTTATTTCCCCTTTTGGAAGACCAATACCGAAAAAGCCAAATTTCCTAAAATTGCGTGCTAAAAACCAGTAATATTTGAAATATAGATAGAGACAACAAATCTTGCATTTTTATACCCTACACTATACTTTATTGGGGAGGGTATTATCTTGAAAAAATTTTCTTTCATATAAAGATGATTTGAGCAACCATTAACAGCAACTTTCAAAATTGATGTTACTTTTACACCTTTTTTATTGAATATTGAAAGTTTAATCGAAAGTTATAATTCAAAACATGTATAAACATATGAAACTGTAAAAAATATGTATAAACGCAATAAAAAACGTAATCTATGTTATTACAAAACTCCATTTAGATCGACATTTTTGTTTTGCTTGTAGCATCTACAAAAATTGATGATAATTTCGAAAAACCTTCAAAATAATTAGATTTACTGCCAATTGACAGGCAAAACCTAAAAAAACTCTATTCACATAGAAATAAAACTAAATTTTATACAAAATTCAAAAGCCTACTAAACCATTAACTTTTTTCTATATTTGTAATAATTTCATAATTTATATAATAATATTTTTGTTATTTTTGCTATTTACAGATATTTTTTTTGTTCGAAAATATTGAAACTACTTATGTTGTAGCTCCCCCAAAAAACCAGTAATTGACTGAAATAAAATTGTACACAGTCATACGGACGGACAGAGAAAAAAAATAAAACTAAACATTTGTTGCTGTGGTGTGGATAGTTTGCACAACTGATATTGCAGCAGCAACAGTAGCAACAGCAGCAGCTATCACTATGTCGACAACATCAGCATCATGTGATTGTTTGGTGGGGGTGCCAACTGGACCAACACTTGCCTCCACCTGTGGTGGCAGTGCTTTTATGTTGTTTATGGGTCTTTTGGAAGTATTCATACGTTCACAATGTGATCTTGAAGATCCTTGTGGTCGTGCTAGTTCAAGGGTAAGTTACACAAATACAATTCATATTTTTTGAATTAAAAAAACAATTCAATTTGAATTTAATTTGTTGTATTTTTTAACGATATTTTGTTTTTTTATTAATAAAACAACAACACATTTTCTCTTAACTTTAAAACGATTTTCGTTTATAGTTTCGCTCAGAGCCCGATTATGAGTACGACTTTATAGTGATTGGCGGTGGTTCAGCCGGTTCTGTAGCAGCCTCACGTTTATCCGAAGTGGCACAATGGAAGGTGTTATTGATTGAAGCCGGTAAGCGAATTGTTTTTGTTTTTATTTTTTGCGTTTCGATTTTACAACTATTTTCTTGCGGTTGTTTTTATTTTGAGTGAACATTTTAAATGTCTACATTTACGACATGTTTTATATGTCTACACAAAATTAACTGTATTGGGGGGCTGAATAAATAATGGACCTTATTAACGGTTAATTAGTAAGCGACATATTTTTGGCTATTTCATAATAGTAAATGAATCAATACTTTGAAATCGCTGTTAATTAGGAATTGCCGTTCATACTGAGCCCTGACAACCACAAATATTTTTTTATAACAAAATCAAGCAACGAGATGTATTAAGCCACTTTTTATTCCTATGGTCCTAGAGAAACATCTGGTTCTACTAACAGTAAAGGTTATAGAGGAGTCTTGTATGCAGATAGATATCTTTGTCTGGGCTCTTATAGATTATTTTTCGTGGTTATAGCGAAACACTTGAGTTCCGACTTTTTTTTCATCCATGCATTGATCGTGTTCTATACCTTAGCCAAGGGAATATGAATCTTTTTGCGAAACCATTTCGCTTAACAACGATCTGTTAATGTGGATTCATTTCTACAGCAACTTAAACCAATCTAGAGAGTGTCGATGGCTGCTCTCGGTCCATGTACAAGCTCTTTGCTTAAGTATTGGATCTATCTAATTAGTTAATATCGTAGATCTGTGGCTTAATGTTCAACAATTTTCAGATCGTATCTCAATCATTCATCGACGACAATCTACAACAACACTGATGGAAAGGCCTCTGTTAACTCGGCACTTAAAGACGTATTTGTTAGACTAAAATACGATATCTATCAGCAAGCCAAGACAGCCTTCCTTAATCACATGTGATAGGCTGGGTCTGGTATGAACAGACTACAACTCTATTATGCATATATTCATAGGGAAAACAAAACGCTAGTCAAATGACTTCAATAGTTTATAGTCCCTGTGGACTAGAGATCCTGGTAGTTCCTTTATACCCACGGATTGCAGTAACACCAAGACTACCCAGTAGTTTTTTGTAGGGCGACACCATTGCTGATATGATCATATTTTAGTTCACTTGACTCTGAGTCTATGAACCGATTTGTCATGTGAATGGATGTCTTTAGACAAGAATGAGGCTTTTATAGTACAGATGAGAATTGGTTTCTTACGCCTCCCGCAAGTTAAGGACCATAACTTGAAATAGGTCTTATGACCGCTTATTATGGACCATAATTTATGGTTTTATGCCCCTCTTTCCCAAGGTTTTCTTGCAAAAAAAGAAGGTACATAGTACCTTACTCATTCGACTTAAATTTACTTTCCCACGAGAACTCATAACCCCAAAACTGTACGGTTGATTGATTGATTAAGAGGGCACCAAGCACTACGACCCAAATTAAGATCTTTTGTGCAGCCCTTTCGGTTCACCGTTAGATATTAAGTTCACGTATGTTCTAGACGGTGTGAGATTGAATATTTTATTAGGCGAAAGAAAATCGCCTCCCATAATACTCACTCTGAGAGACCATAATGGCTGACAGTCACAAAGTATATGTTCAGAGGTTTCATCATGCATTTCGCAGAATCTGTGTAGCCTCATCACATTGTTACCAAGAATGTGCTTGTGGTATCTAAGTCCACAGTGTCCGGTATAAAGTCCCGTTTGTAATCTTAGCTCACTCTTGTTAAGTGACAGTAACTTTTGCGATGTACCTTTCATTAGCATTATGAAGCTTTTTGCTTCATGAATCCCATTTTTCCCTAATGTATCCTTTGAGGATACCAAAGAATGGTTCTGCTCTTTCTTTGCCAGAGTGTCCTTCATGGCCAGGTACCCAACATAGTTTGAGTTTATTATGTTTACCCAATTCATTTAGAATTCGATATCATAAATATCTTTAATCATCTCAGTTTTCTTCTCAGATATTCTCTAATGCAAATGATGAAAACACCTCTGCCTGAAAGATTGAGGGGTAATTACCCATAGGGATGGCCTTTTAGAAATTTGGGCCATAGATTTCCGCTCCAGTATTGTCATTTATCTGTTTGGAACCATCTGTAAACCATACTTGATCATCATGTTCCTGCCACCAATTTAGGTTTATCCATTGGTCCCTATTCGGTATAAGAACCTTAAAGGCTCTGTGTAGTATCAAAACTGTTGAACCACAGTCAGGAATCCATAAATATGAATCAGTCATATATGTGCTTATAATACTCATGTTTCCCACCAAGTTGCCAGCTTTGAAACTGTACGGTTAAATCGATGTCCTTGAAATTCTGTGATTTTATTTTTTATGGACCTGTTTTATAGTCAACACTAAAGGACAGTTTTTTACTTAAAAATTTCATATACATTTAAAAACTTAATGACCGATTTTGCTGATTTTAATTAGTAAACTTCTCGGAAGTCTGATGGAATTATTCAATGATAAAATATCTTTTAATATAAAAATTTGCCACCAAAATTTTTAAAACCCGCCCAATATAAATACGAGTTTAACTTTTTTCTTTGATAAATTGTTAAGTATTACGAAAATAATTAAATACTATATTTATTTGTAATTATTATGGTAAAGATTAGTTTTTATTAACAGTTAAGTATTAAAAAAACAAGTGTCTTGTTTGTTTCTTTATTACAATTCATTCATTAAAGTCCAGTTTAGTTAAAATGACAACAATTTGTCGTTTTATAGGTTTTTTTTAAGCGGTAACTTTTAAATTTTAGAGGGATCCAACGGGCACATAAAAACTTGATGACATCAATAAGTCGCATCATTCGATGAAGAAAAAAACACAAAATTTTATATTTTGACAATTTCAAATGATCTTTACCGATTTGGTCATGATATGTGCAATGTGTCAAAATAATTTGCAATTACTACATAAAATTTCTGATTTGTATAGAATATATTGAGTAATAATGACATCACAAGATAGATTATTTTCTCAAGAATTTGTGACTTAAGATTTAACCTTTTTAAAAGAAATTCCCCAAAACTTTAATTAGTATTTATTTAAGTTAATAATAGCTTGTTTTCTATTAATTATAAGTTTAATGAGTTTAAAACCACTGCCTGTAATTTAATAACTTTAATTAATGCTTATTTATTTTAAAGCAGGCTTAAACACGTGTTAACGAAATCGTGATTGTAATTAAAAAATAATCGCTATTATAAATGTTTAACTAAACACGGATATAAAACAAGAAAAAACCCTTAAAATTTTATAAACAAATAAGAAATAAAGGTACCACCGTAAACAAAAGACTTAAACAACAAACATCTTTTTAACCTTCGCACTACCAAACATCATCATAAAGCATTTTCTTAATACCAGTGATAAATGCCCTAAGAAGTCTTAAATATATAAAGGACAGAAAGATTTTCGGTTTAATTTATAAAAATCGGCATTTGTTAACCTTCGTGCTACCAAACTTCATAAAAAAGCTCTTTTTAGTAATTAGTAATTAATTTTCACAAGATTTTAAAGATATAAAAATTGTTTAAAAATTAGAAAAACAAATATAAACATTTTCTAAAAAAAAATATTAATCAAAATCAGTTACGGTAGCGCGAAGGTTAATTAATGTTTAATTAAATGTTCTATTTTTTTGTCGTTTTGTCCAACTTTAGTTAATTATTTTACACACATATTAAGTTTATTTGTTTAACTAAAACTCTACTATTATTTAATTACATTTTTTATTCTCCGAAACATGTCAAATAAAGTCTATTGTCATTGTTTTTTTATGACACAAATCTGACACTAAAGGTGTCATGCTCTCAAGTTGTTTATTGTCAAAGTTGTACGGATGTTTAGATAGAAAAATTAATTTATTTGCAAAAACACGCAATGTACTATTATTAAATAGATTTTATTAAAAATTTGTTATTGGTTACGCTTGACGATGTGTAATTACGTATAATAAAAGATTAAGGTGGATTCATTTGTACAAAACTTTATTATTAGGGGGAAATTTGAAAATGTAATATCATATGTTCTTATGTTCGTCTTAACTTTTGACGTATACACCGATTTACATATTATTTTCGAAAAATTCCGTGGATACAACAGGCATGAACAATTCAGTACTTTAAAACTATTTTGAGTACATTTTGATATCGAAAAATACCGCAGTACACCCACATTTTCGGCACTTTTTCTAACTTATAAACATCTGACAAGTAGTCCACATAGTAGTTAATAGACCCATCTATAGTCCAGTATATAGTCTAGTCTATAGTCTAGTTATAGACTAGACTAGACAGACTAGACTATAGATTAGACTATAGACTAGAATATAGACTAGACTATAGACTAGACTATAGACTAGACTATAGACTAGACTATAGACTAGACATAGACTAGGACTATAGACAAGACTATAGACTAGACGATAGACTAGACTATAGACTAGACTATAATAGACTATAGACTATACGATAGACTAGACTATAGACTAGACTATACTAGACTATAGACTAGACTCTAGACTAGACTATAGACTAGACTATAGACTAGACTATAGACTGACTATAGACTAGACTATAGACTAGACTAGACTAAGTAGACTAGACTATAGACCTAGACTATAGGACTAGACTAATAGACTTAGAGACTATAGACTAGACTATAGACTAGACTATAGACTAGACTATAGACTAGACTATAGACTAGACTATAGACTAGACTATAGACTAGACTATAGACTAGACTATAGACTAGACTATAGACTAGACTATAGACTAGACTATAGACTAGACTATAGACTAGACTATAGACTAGACTATAGACTAGACTATAGACTAGACTATAGACTAGACTATAGACTAGACTATAGACTAGACTATAGACTAGACTATAGACTAGACTATAGACTAGACTATAGACTAGACTATAGACTAGACCATAGACTAGACTATAGACTAGACTATAGACGAAAGCTCATTCCCGAAAAAATGAACTTTCGGTTGATACAAATGTCACTGGGTTGACAATC